CCCTGCAGCCACATATTGTGTAGACATATCAGCTTCTATAAAACACTGCATGAGGAAAGAGACAATAGAATGGAAGGAAAGTCTGCATTTCTTGTGGAGGTTCTGAAGGATTTTTACTATTAAAACAAGGACCATGCATATTGATTTAAGCCAGCTGGATGTATGGGTCTGTACTTAATCCAATACTAACAACTATTGAGTAGAGAAAGCCGTTACCATAGATTTATGTTCACTCAATATAATGGGTAGGTGTGCCTAAAGCACTTTTATTGGTAGATCTGATTGACAAGCTATTTATTCTGCTTCAGTTGAGTTGATAGCTGAATGGTTCTTTTTTCTGCTTGACCACTCAAATGTAAAGCACCTCTAGTCCTTCCCTACTGGTAAACTAGCAAAAATTTGCCTAGTAATATTCCTGCTGCTGCTTAATGGATTTTTTTAAATAATTTGCCAATGTTTTCCTTTGTTTGATGAAAAATCTTTACAATATGTATAAATCAATCAATGAGAAGGTAAGGGAAGTGGAAAAGGGGGAGGTAATGAGTGCGCAGAAGACAAAAACCGAAATGGAGACGGAACTGATTTATACCACCGTTCATCCTCGTTCATGCTCGACTTGCCCCTGATAGAGGGGTAACGTTGGTACCCTCGACACAGTGCTTTCCCCAGGACAATAAATCGGCTTCAGCGCTGATAAAGTGAGACAGCTTATCTTGCACAGTAATGTTAAAACCTCAGTATTCAAAAAGCTGCTATCACAGGCATTCACATACTGTATAAGATATTAAAAATGATTGTATAAACTCTTATTGTAGGAATTCACTACTTCTTGTGTAGCATAATAAACAGACTAAACATTGACTAGTGTGCAATCTGCACTTGGTACTGTCTTTAGTCAGTTATTTAGCTGCGTTGACAGTAATACAGTTTGCTTAATTTTGTTTTTTTAATTTACATGAAGGACTCAGACATGGTTATTTAACCAAATGGTATTTGGCAAGCTATCATAATATCAAAAATAAATAAAAGGGCAATAAAGATAACTTAGATGCTCATTCTTACCAATCTCTGCCTTTAATTCTGAACCCATGACTACCACCAAATGTTTACGATGCTTAGACATCTAAACAAACTAAAGAAAAACTCACACACTCCAATTAATAAAATCCTCAAAAAACAGTCGTTTTATTGAGAATAATTCTGATAAGCAGTTCATTGAAACTTTTAGAAGAAGAAAATTCCCTCAAAGTGAATAAAAAGTTGCATTTTCATAATTCCAGTGAATGACTTTTTAATTACCTTTGATCAATTGCCATCTGAACTGATTATTTGTTCCCATTATTTTTTTTTCTCAGGTAAAAACTGCTGCTTATATGAGCTTGGCTCAGGACAGATTGTATTCAGATTACCACACAAAAGGGTCCAGACTCTTCTGAAGTTGGTTTGAGTGAAGACAATCTGAAATAGCACTGAGGCATACAAACCTGTATTTAACACTATTCAACTTCAGTCAAAGACAGATATCAGTACCAGGTCTGAACAGGGCTTATGTTTTTGAAGCTGTCTTTTATGACTTTTTGTTTTTTGCCTTAATCTCTTCATATTTCATGGGAAATGTTGTACAACTGTAACTACTGAGCAAGTGACCAACCCATAAACCCATAAACTATACAACTCTACATACTGTAAGTCAATTCAGTTGCAGATACTATAGCTCCACTATAAAACAAAGTACAGTCATCCCTCACTATCACAGTTCACTTCTTGTGGCTTCACTGTATTGCAAGTTTTTTAAACCCAGTTTTTTATATTGTGTGTACTGTACATGCTATGCAGTACTGTACATTCATCTCTTTGTCATCATCTTCATTGCCATCGCCAAAGTATTTAAGTGCTTTTGAAGTGTTTATAAGACAGCGGGAAAGATTTTTAGGAGTGTAGGAATGGTTTATAAAGCCTTAAACATATGGTATATAAATAATAAAATAAATATAAAGCCGCTGCTTCACAGAGTTTCACCTACTGCTGGAGTCTCTGTAACCCCTGTGATAGGTGAGGGACCACTGTATTGTCAAAAATGTGGCTTCCACCTAAATTTTTGGTTGCCAGAGTAGAATGGTAAATTTTATCTGCATCTTTGTAGATGTGTTTTCATTTATCCTTGTAGCTTTTTGTGGCTGAGATGTGAAACTGATATAACATTTACAAAACTTTCAATTTGAGTCTTAAAATGTTCACTTTCTGAACCACAGAAGGAATTAGAAAAAAAAAAAAAACTGTTACAGAGCAAAATACAGTTTGAATAAAAGTGTTGCAATAAAAATGTAAACACTCATTTTTATTTTCTGATTAAAATAACGTGGGAATACAGTAGTCCCTCGTTACTTTGCCATTCGTATTTGTGGACTCGCTCTATCGCAATTTTTCAAAGTAAAACTGGACATGACACACAATTGGCTGATTGATGGATGAGCCGCATGATAGGCATGGAATTTTTATTTAAAATAAATTGTTTGAAATTATTTAGCACTTGCTGCAGCTCTGTGCAGCCCACACTGCAGGATAAGCTTCCTCCTGCAGCTGATCAGCTGATCTCCGTGAAGAGTGGAGAAGTGGGCGTGTCCGAGAGCTCTTGCAGGTGGCAGTGCAGCCGAGGCAGAGAGCTAAAATCATGACATTATGTGCTCTTTTAGTGTTCAGAGTTTAGAAACATTGTCTAGAATATTGTAAGAATGTGGGAAGGATTTAAAATGCCTTTATATATATATATATATATATATATACACACAACAACAAAAAAAATTACTACTTACTACTACTACTATCCCTACTTCATGGTTTTTCACTTATCGTGGGGCTTTAGGGTATGCATCCCCCACGATAAATGAGGAACTACTATATTTCAAATGCTTGGAAAAATCCATACTCCATGTCAAACAGTGAGAATGTACTGTATTGAGGGAAAAAAATTACATCTTGAATATTGCACTTGTAGAATTATGGCAATATGCTCCTCAGTTAGTACTTTAAACTGCACACGATCAGTGTCTGTAGGAGCAGGGAGCCATCAAAATGTAACGTTTCCCTTTGAGCTTCTTCTTGCTCTCAGTATTCAGCTCACCAGGGAGGGAGGTGTTGTGATGAAGGGGGAGCACCATGATTGGAAAGAGTCAGTCCTTCATTTTGTCATGTGATTTCTTTTCTCACTCCTCGGCTGATCTCTCACTGCAGGGCAGGTTCCATTCACTTGAATTTATTATTTCTTTGCACTGAGAAAGTTGATGAATTCAAATCTCTGTTGTGCGTGCACTTGTTGAGGCTTGTGTGTGTGTGTGCATGTGAGCAGACAAGGCACGAGCCTTTCTGTTTGTCAGGGAATGGCACTTTCATGGCCGTCTCAGATCTCGCTGCCTCACATTTCGACAGAGCGATGGAGCCAGAAGGTAGAAAGAGAGATGGAGAGATAATGGAAATGGAGGGTGAAAGAAGGCTAACACAATCTTTAATGAGTTTCCTTCGCTCTCTTAGCCTGTTTCTGGGTCAGGGTCCCTTTGGCTGAGGATGTGGGTGGACTTAGGACTATAGAGCACAAAATGAACAGAGTCATCCAAGGTCCTACTGAAAAAAGACTTCTACATTAAAGAGTCATCACCTATCATCAAGGCCCAATGGAGGAAAAAAGTTTCTAACTTTTTTTTTTTTTTTAAAAAGCAGTTGCTGACACACAAATAAGCTGTCTGCGGCATCATAACAGTGCAGTCCAAGTGGCTGAGGCTCGCTTTGGTCATTTTCTGATCGTCTCCTCCTGCACTTTCATTTCCTAGCAATCAACTTCAATCCGTGGCAGGTATGGCGGGAAATATAACATTAGAGTAGCATCACCGGGAGATGGCTGACATTATTTAGTGCTCCCAAAGCTATCGCGAAGCAACCTCTGTCAGACAACAAGGCTCCGCTATGTCCACAGGCCAGAGAAGCTGATAGATAGAAGGACATGAAAGAATTACTGATGGGCTGATAAACTATTGGTATCTGAACAGTCTGCCTTCCTGCTCCTGTCCATCTGTGCAATGTTTCTGTCTGCTCAACTCTTAACATATCAATCTGTCTACTTTTCCCTTTTCCCCTTGTTCTCTCTTCCTCTCTCTCTTACCTTCAGTTTTCCACTGCGTCTCTGTCTCTATTACTCTGCCTTCTTTCTTTCACACTTGTAAATAATTGATGTCTACCGGTTCAATGGTAAGAATAGAACAGTTCTGGAGGTGACAAATGGGGTGGCGAATAGGCCTTATCCTCCTTTCTTCAAAGAGTTAGAAAGTTTGCCGTAGTCACTTGTGGGTGCACGTGCATGTATATTTGTGCCATTGTGAGCATTTGTTCGTGTGTGCGATTTAAGACAGTGAGATGAAAGAGACTTGTAATTACAGGGAAGTGTGTTCGTCTACTGCATAAGTATCTGAGGAATGGCACATGGCACAAACTGGGCCAAAAGCCCGAGGTCATTAGAACTGCTGAGTGCATTCGGGTGTCTGTGCAAGCTGCAGTTTGTGTGTGTATGAGAGAGTGACAAAGAGAAGGGAAAAGAAAATGGCAGGCAGAGCTTGAAAAGCTTAAAACTTTAGTTCCTCAGAGTCAAATCTCTGAACTTGGTTTCTTGTCACTGGCTTTCCTAGACTCATTGCTCAGCAGTAGCTGTTTGTGGTTTGACCAATCTAGGACTTTTTTTTTGTTGCTGTTGAAAATCTGCTGAGCTGAGTTGCCAAAGAAGAATCCCAGAATTTCCAACTCTCCGAAATACACTTGTGTAAACATTCCAAAATATCAAATGATAGGGATTTCACTGAGTACTGTGCAAATGGATTATCTCATGCAAAGACTCTTGCCTACTTGCCATTCTCCCCAAACCCCACTTTTATTTGTTTAAGGCCATTTTTTTCCATCTCTTCTTTCGGCTGTGTCCATCCTTTTCCTTTTGTTTGACACTGTTTCTTTCTTTACAGTTGAAGATGACTTCATTGGTCTCAGTGAGCTGCCAGAAACCTTCCCCTCCGACCCTCCAGAGCCACTGCCGGTGTTTTTGATGGAACCTGAGGAGGCCTACATAGTAAAGAACAAGCCAGTGAACCTGTACTGCAAGGCCACACCTGCAACACAGATCTACTTCAAGTGCAACAGCGAGTGGGTCCACCAAAAAGAGCACACTGTGGAGGAGAGGGTTGATGAAAACTCAGGTCAGTAAAACAAAAAAAAAAAAAAAAAAAAAAGGAAAAATATCAACTGTGTACCTCTTTAGTCTGCAGTTTTTGAAGAAAAGTTCATCCGAACATACCAGGGATAAGATGAAGACTTAACTGCTTTGAATTTCTTTACTCGGCTATTTGCTCTTGATAATTAAAACCTGTATCAATCCATCCAGCCATTAGCTTTTCATGTGTCCTCCTGTAACAGGTGTTTCAAGGGTAGGTGTACCCACTGTACCCCTGGACCAGAGGTGGACCACACTCTGAGCAGGTCATCGTCCGATTACAAGGCTAACACAAACTTAAACATGCTAAAACACACAAATTGACTGGGGGCCAAGCTGTGTGTTTTGGCCTATAGAGCGCAATGCACTAAAAAGAAAATGCCAAACCTGCATTGATGGCACCAATAGGTGTGTATTTCAGACCCTGCTTTTACAATACAAATTACAAAGGCAGTGGTTTCGTTGTATCTAATTCAATAGAAATCATGTTAAGTCATTGCCCTTTTAAACTATTATAACATTTGTTAGTTCTGTGTCCCAGCTGTTAGCATTAATTGCGCTAATATGCTATCAACTGTGTTCTCTCAGCCTCATCTAACCTCTGCAGTCTGAGCATTCACCTCCTGAACAGGAATGCATGCTCACTAAGAGTCTAATCACAATTAGGTCTTCTTGAATTCATATATGCCATTAAAGAGACACTGGCACATACTTTAAAATGGGATTTAACCATCTGAGTATAAATGCAGACCAAAAAAATCCATCCTATGGGTGGATTTTTAAAGATTCCTGATCTGAACTTTAAGAATATCACACTTCAAACTATGTTTTCTATCATGATCAAGTTAGCAAATCTTATACTATCATAGTTTGTGTATAAGGGGTTCATATTGTATTTAAAAAACTTCAACTATTTTAAATATTCCTGTTCAGCCTATTCAGTCTGCAGATGTCTTCTTAAGTGGGAGCTCACCTTTGTTTTTTCATTTTCATTTTCATTTAGCCTTTATTTATCCAGGTTAGTCTCATTGAGCCACGAGAACTCATTTTCAAGAGAGACCTGCTTAGGGAGCACATGGTGGGGTTAAGGGCCTTGCTCATGGGCCCAGAGTGGGGCGAATGAGGGTGGGGGCAAGTGTGGGTGTTTCACCTACCCCACCCACAATTTTTGATGTTGTCGGGGCCGGGGCGTGAACCAGCGATCTTCGGATCACAAGCACACCTCTCTAACCTCTGCGCCACCACTCCCCCACTGCTACCTTAGTAGCAGTGTGGCAAGTGCTACCATTTCTCTTATATGTGCATCTTTAAAGGTTGAACATAAACATACATTTGTTTGTGGGCTTCCAGAATGGAAGGTAGTGATGCTCCAATAGGATGTTTTTTAAGAACTCAGTGCCTGAAGGCAGCATACCCATTACACACAACAGCCCAGTGCTGACTGGCTACTTTCAGTTGCTATAGTTGAAACATTATTTTTTTTACCCAAAGGTACCAATCACATTGCATTTACCCTTTTCATTCCACTTTTTACCGCAGACATGTCTACAGGTCCACAAAAACACACTGACAGCAGCCCCTTTACTCAAACATGACCATTTATAATCATAAGCACACGTTTTAGACATTCGGGGATCAGAAAGTATGTTTTATCAAGGTGTATAATAAGATTATACATATTAAATGCTCTGAGTTCTGACCCGAATGACGAAATGTAAAGTCAACAGACAGGTGCTCTGATGTTGCAATGGGAGTTTGGCTAAGCGAAAAATAGTTATAAAGAAAAAACAAAACAACTTAAACTCAACCTGAAATCGTTTACTTTTATTTCCTAATGAGCTTTAGGAACAATGCACAAATCTGAGCATGTGTTTCATCGTTTTGAGTATGACAAACAACAGTAGAACGTAGCGAGGGGCTCTTAGGGTTTGTGTCAAGAGGTTCTGTGCCAAAAGCATCAACAAGGAAAACAGCCCACACATCACACAAGCACCCACTCTACATAGCCATATCCACAGGCTATTTACTGAGCATATTCATTCATTTGTGCTCATGCAATGCACACAAAACACACTCAACCCCACTAGAGCGCTGTGTGTGTATGTTGCATATCATCCCACTCCATGGCTCAGATGTCTCCAAATTGACAGAAAAGGAGCACTGATAGAAACCAGCAAGCCTGGTCAATACCACTAATAACATAGCCCAAAGAAACTGGATCTCTCCCCTTCTGTTTCTGCTTTTATCTTCTTTCTGTCTTGCTGTCATATTGAGGAGGACTGATGTGCTTATGCAAATAACACAGTTTGAGATATGACGATTAAGAGTACAAGAAACTGAAGACGGAAACAGCATGTGTTCATTTAGGCTTCAGGCTGTATCAGCGTGTATTTCTCCAGATGTTGTACACTCACGCATGAACACTGTGTGAGGTGCTGTGCAAACACTTCCAGCACACAGATGTTTCGATTACTAGCCATCATGCAAAATCTTAAGGGTAACATCTGACTGGTCTTACATTCATTTTCCAGCATGATAATGATTTCAGATACACATCTGAATGACAAATATCTTCATCAGCAACATATGCCAAGTCATTTGGACTACTTTGAAATATAGCAGGCCTCATTGCTTTGAAAGTAACAAATATATACTGCATTAAGCCTGTTTGTTTTCATGTGTTCAGACGCTACCAAAAAGAGGCAGTTTGGTGCCACGACAGTGTGGCGGTTTAAATGTAAAGATGACATCCCAAGATCTGCTTAGTCACAACAATGTTTGTCTTGAATAGTGTGTTTTAGATTTACACTTTTGTTGTTTTACCCCTTTTTGTCCCCTGTTGCAAAGTGAAAAGGAGGTATTGTAAATACCCTCTGTCCATCCATCCATCCATGCAAATATACAAAGGCATACAGTTTTTTTTTTTTTAACAAATAGGATGGCAAGAGCAGCACGGTGGTGCAACTGGTAGAGCTGCTGCCTCTCAGCAAGCAGGTCCCTGGTTCAAACCCCGGTCCAGGGGCCTTCTGGGTGGAGTTTGCATGTTCTCTCCGTGCATGCGTGGGTTTTCTCCGGGTACTCCGGTTTCCTCCCACAGACCAAAAACATGCATGTTAGGCTGATTGGTAACTCTAAATTGTCCCTAGGTGTGAGTGAGAGAGTGAATGGTTGTTTGTCTCGTTTGTCTCTATGTGTCCCTGTGATGGACTTGCGACCTGTCCAGGGTGTACCCCGCCCCTCGCACAGTGATTGCTGGACATGGGCACCAGCGACCCCCGTGACCCAAAATGGAATAAACGGGTAAAGATAATGGATGGATGGATAGGATGGCAAGAAATGTAACAAAAACAGCTAGATTATAAGGCAAATGTAGAAAACTAAAAACAGGAACATGTCTGCATTAGTTCTTGCCAGGAGTCCAACAGATATTTAAAGCCACTTACAGGTCAAGGTCGAGAGCTTCAGATCTTTTTGTAAGATATTCCAGGAAACAGGAGCAGAGTAGGAGAAGGCCCTTTTGCCAAGTTCAGTCCGCTCTGAGGGAACACTGCAGGTAATAATGTCCTGAGAGCGCACGTCGTAGCTGCACTCACGCAATGAGCCATAAATTAATGCTAATCAGCACATGTAAGAGCCAGCTTGTCACTTCCTTGAAATTATGAGGTAAGACGCTCAAACAGGAATACTCTTCATCTGGGCGCAGAGTCCTCATTCCTCCCCTCATCCAGCTCATCTTCAGTGACCAATGCTGCTTCCTCTTCCTGACTGGTCTGATCAATGATGCTAGCCAGGGTTAAAACTAAGGAGGTGGGCCAGGTCATGATAATAACTACATTAATTATGAATCATTTTAAATGAAGTGCCAGCCATGAAAGGGACATTATGTGGGATCATTCATTTTTAGGGCAAATGGGCGACAGTGGTGTAAGAAGCACCTCACCACTAACCCTGACTGTTTTTTTATCATAGTTGTAGAACCTTACAGCATAAGAAATGCTTGCTAAGCAAACACGTGCACTCACAGGACGAGGTCAGAGGCAGTTCAAAGTTCTGATTTTCTGGTAGAGAGATTTCTCTGATGTGCTTGAAGTGGAGTGCACTCAGAAAATCCTAATCCTGGTGTAAAAAAATCATGAACCACTTTTAAAGTCAAGTTAAAGTCAACAGATATGTAGTCATTGAGCATTTGAAGCGTTCTTGTATGCACAAACTCTAAAACCAAGAAATCAATTATTTATCAATTTAAACCAAGACAACAACAAAAAAGACGACTTCTGTGTGCAGATTTCAAACAGTATGTGAACTTGGAGTTTGTATTTATTGTTGCGGCTGTTTATTTTGTTTCCCTTTCTACATTCTTGACATTCTCCAACTAACAAAACATCCTTTTTGGCAAACACATTAGCATACAACAGCACTCGCTGCCTTGCACTAACACACACGCTTGTGGAAAAGTGCAGAAGCAAATGGTGACACGACAGACAGACTGCTCCTCTGCATAAATTTTACATGAGGGCTAAGCTGGTGTGTTAGATATGCCTTGTGTGTGTGTGCATGCGCGCATGCATGCTCACTAAACCAAGAAGGCTGTGTTAATGCACTGAACCTGAAATAAAATGGCATGCTCTTTTTTTTTACCCGCCCAATCTTGATGCATTTTTCATTCAGTCACAATTTTTGACACCTATTGGGAAAACAACTGCTCGTACCGTGAACTGCTATAAAATCCAAACATTTTATTTAAAATATTATCATCTATAGTTCACCATTAATAGTGAAATGTATTCATTATGTATGTGAATAATGCAAACAAGGCTTTGTCTGTTGGGATAATAGATGTCATAAGCAGCAGCTATAATTGTTTTTTGCTTTATGGTAACATGATTCTGTCTCATTTTTGTAACATTAATGTTAATGACACAGTGCGTTTAAAACAAAGCAAAAGTTAAGTGAAATTGCTTTTTTAATTTTATTAAAAGAACATCAAGCCTAATGGTTACAGCAAACACCTCATAACTGAGCGTTCATTCATCCAGCAAGGAAACTTGAGACATTTGAAAATTACCTTGATCTACTTTTTGGTAAATTTCAATTACCAACTGAGATTCACAATGTGTCCCAAATTAGTCCATCTTGTCTTGAGTTCATTTGGCAGCAAATTGCTCTGTAATGAATTAGATTGCAGGAATAAATTAAATTATAGGCTGAATGCAC